ACAGCCCCTATGCAGTTGGTCAGAACAGACACACAAGGGAGGGAGATGTGCCCTGTGAAGCTGTAGTGCAAGCCAGAGTGGTTCTTGTTGGAAAAGAACTGCAGTGTGTACTAGTCAGTGCTGTGGCTGTAAGGCAATGAATTGCCTTAAGCTCTTTTAAAAGAGCATTATCTTTCCCATTAGTATTCAGGCCTTGACTGTATGTCACCAAACTCAGACATGGACAGAACACCATTGTAACTTGTGCTGCCTTGTGTGGCCTGTGTGTGGAAGTGCACTTGGGAGGAATCTGTATCTTGGTCTCTTTGGTCAGTAGGGCTAGGTTTTGATACCACATGTAGACAGCTGTATTCCTTTCTTGACTTCTGTTGTTCTGTTTTTATATTCTATTGTTTATTAATTTAAGCAAATACATGTGCAGGGGCACAGGGGATGGGAGAGTGGGTATGGTGGTGTTTTTCAGAGAAAATAAAGTGTGAGCAAGTGAAATTATAGCTAAATCCTAATTGGAAAGACATTGGATGAACACTTCCTCCTTTTGAAACTTAGGAGACAGGACTCAGCCTCTTCCTGGATGAGTTACTTCTTTCAATGATGAAAATGTTTGTCTTGCACCTTCCACTGCACTTACTTGTTACAGGATTTGCATTTCCCCTTACTTTGCAAAAGTAAAAATGATAAAATGAGGTACCTTAGGTACATTAGCCTGGGATTCAGATTCTGAAAGTATCTGTCATTTCTGATAATCTGTCAATTTAATGTAAGTGAAGAGTAGTAACGTCAGATCAGTACAAGTCTGTAGTGCAAACAAAAGTCATCCTTGGAAGAACAGTACGTTTTGTAAACTTAATCTCAGTTGTCATTCCAACAGTTTATTGTTCAAAGAAAAAGCCCAACAAAACCAGTTAACATAACTAGTGTGTCTTAGAGTTTATCAAACTGCATAAAACATACAAAAATATTTTTCTGCATAGATTTACTGTTACTACAGTCAGATTATGAGTGGAGTTTAACACATTAACTGTTATTCTTGGTGGAAACTAGAGAAATAAAGGTTTTTAAACCAGCTTCCCTCTAGCAGAATGCTCAGTAATTAGTGGAGACAGTCCTTACACTGACTTCCTAAATTAAGGTACGGGAAAGAAATCAGATACTCCTATTAATTTTGAGCCATTTAACCACTACTGTTTTTCAGACAGTTATTGCACTTAATCTGAGCTAGCCTCCAAGCTATGCCTGGAAAGATAAATACACAATTGTTAAAATAAAACCTTCTTTCCTGTCCTACAAGAAAAACAAAGCAGGAACCTCAGTTAAGAAGTTTTACTTCATACTGTGTCTCAGTCTTGAGCTTCCCAAGGGTTGAATCTGGCATTAAAGTAGCTCAGCTCCTGGTTGAAGAAAAAACCAGGATTGAGAATAGGAAGTTAGCATGGTTAAGGTGATGTGTAGGGACAAAGGGATTTTAATTATTTTGACTGCAGTAAGCAAGAATTTTAAGACTAAGTAACTTGGTGAGCCCAGAGTCAAGCAACTCCTCTGCTGGCAGAAGGGATTTCTGTGTTCTCTTGGCATGCAGCAGCTTGAGGGAGTCTTCCAGGGTAAAGCAGGACCCAGGGAGGATGGCAGCCATGCTGCTTCTACCAGAACATGGTGCTGTACTATTTATAGTTTGACTGTCAACATTGCAGTCCAGATCGACAACAAACACAGCGCCAGCTGTGCAGAAACTGCTCTAGTGCAGCTTCATAAAGCAGAGATGGAAGGAAAATCAATACAGTTTGGGGTGGGGGGAGGAGGGGGGAACGGAGGGGAGAAAAAAGCTCATGCAGTTAAAGCAAGTTTCTCACCCACCACAGGATTCAATTAAGGCTTTTGGTGCAAAAGTCAGCATCATATCTTTTGGTAAAAAAGAAAACAGCCTCCAAATGTGTAAGTTCCCAGGCTGCCATTTTAATCGGGAAAGGCTTCAAGCTATTTATACTCCAGAAATGCTGTGACTTAAACACTTTAACCTACAAATCATTTTTTTCATTACTGACTTGCTTAGATGCAAGTTAAAAAGTCTGTAGTTTAACCAGAGATGGTTTTTTTTCACTCCCCACAAAGAAGAGGGGAAAAAAAAGAAGTTTAAAGCACCTGGCATTCAGCCCTTTCAGTACTCACATGGCTAAAACAAGGCTATGTAACAGTGACAGTAGACTGCATGATGTAAAGTTACAAGTTAGTTACTTGCTTGTGGGGTGTTTCCCATCTAGTGGCTCATAAAAGCATGCTGTGTTCCTTCCAGCTCTCATCTCATGAGGACACAACTGTGCTTCTCACACAGCAGAAACCACAGCCCTCCTTGGAACTAGTGTATGAGGGATGGCCACAAAGAGCTTCCCTGTCTTGGTAATACTGACACCTGCTGTGAGTAATGCACAGGCTCACATCGGTCAGGAAGTAAATAAAACCACAGGTGCAGATTGGGGGACCCCTCCCCATCTCCTGAAACACAAGCTTTCTCTTGAAAGGGCACTCCAACTTGATTGAGACTTAATTAAGGAACATTTATGAGAGGCTTTTGTATTTTTTTGGTGGAAGTACAATATTCTCATGGGGCGGGGTATAATCATTTACATATGGACATGCTTATTCCACTTATTTTCAGCCCAGTAAAAGGGTTTCTCCTGCCACTTACGATGATTAAATATCTCCAGACAACCCATCTTGGTGTGTTTGTGAGGTGCAAAGATTAAGGACATTTACATTTTTAGAGAGCAACTATTCATTGTGTGCCTCTTTTAATTTAATAAGGAAGTTTAAAATGCATATATATGCACAGAGACACACAATTTCCCGAATCTTTCCATACATCTTACTTGGTCAGAGTGGGTATACTTAACATAATTTTCATATCAATAATTACATCTTTTGTGACTTCACTGCCAGATACAACCAATAAACTTCCTTGAAATATATTGGAAGCATGTGATTTTACTAGACAAATGAGGTATCCCTTGGCTGAATACAGTATCAAGTAAAAAAATAAAAGCAAACAGGATATTAAATATAAAATATTAGTTAAAATAGTAACCCTAATAATAACTTAAGGTTTTTTACACACATTTAAGTTGCTGCCTTCCAAAGGCAGCACATGTCACTGCCAGGTGTTCACATTGCAGTTGCAGCTCTCAGGGTCAGTAGGTCAGCTTGGATGCTCTGCTGTTGTAGCATGGCCACTCTGTCAGCATGGCCGCAGCGTTCAGGAAAGGAGAGCTGTCACTTCTCAGAAGGACCAACTCCAGCTCTTGGAAGTCCTGGAGTCTGGCAACATCCTTGTCCTTGTAAGGAACAGACAAAACAACATTCTACTAAACATAGCTGGTTATTTATAAAAGAACTATAGGAAGTAAAAACTAAAATTCCACATCCAATAATAGCAATAAAGAATGAGAAAATAAATCCTACCAGCATATATACTCATCAGAAGTGTAGCACGTTTGACTGGCTGATTTTTCTCCTCAAACTTTTTCTTCTCCTTTAATCTCATTATGATTTGGTTGGCTTTGTACATGTCACTTAACAAAGAGTTGTGACCACTTTCATTTAGGGACCTCCAGAATGTATATTTTTGGAACAGAAGAGCAGGTTCATTTGTTAACAGCCTGTCTTTAAGTGTTTGTATGCTAATTTGTGGACGTTTTTCCCCTTACTGTTTGTTCTTTTTAGGCAAGGAAACAGTGAACAGACAATTAATGTCAAAAGCACGCTAAATGCACCGTTTGGGATACATTTTTAAAAAGTCAAGCTATAATAGTTCCATCTGCTTTAGGAGCTAAAATACTCTGCCTGTTTTGACAATAATTATTTTTAAACAAGTTATGATGAAGTTTTAAGAAAGGTCCAACATCCCTTTGAATCTGTCAGTTTAAGTCAGTTTTTATTTAACAAAGATGACGTTTTGCTAGTCTTTTTACAAAAATACCTTCTGATGTCTGTAAAGTCAAGGTAGTCTCTCATTTCTGTTCTTACCTTTCTTACGAGTGTATTGGGTAGTTTTCTGATCTTCTCTACTTGCTCTGGATTAACACCCAGTTCACAGCAGCTCACTCTGAGCAGATCTTGGTAGGTCAATTCCTGTCTGTCCAGTTCAATCTCAATGAAGTCATTGTCTCTAAGGTTCTGGACTCTGACCTTGAGCACAAGTTCTGACAGAGAAACAATTAAAAGGTTAACAACAAAAAAGACGAGCAACTCAAACCCAACACTAGTTTTTACCATTATCTTTTGAATTCAGGTTTTTTAATACAATCCCTGTGATCTCACTGAGAAATACTGTGCAGTTAACAGAAGCTTCCAGCAAAAATACACAGAAGAACCATGTTAACACTGTTAAAACTGATCCATCCAGTCACAAAGTCATTACCACACTACACACTAGAGGTGTATTTGATGTAAATGTAGTGCAAAATTTAATTTTTCATGCTATATGGACCTATCTTTTCACTGCTTTGCAAAGTATTACCATGGTTGAAATACAGTGTAACAGACATTTCACTTAACTGACTGAGCACAAGAAAGTTAGGGCACTTTTGGCCACAGAATTCAACATCTCTGCCTCTACTTTACTAGAATGTTAAGTGAAATTTGTACTTAACTTTTCACCCAGTAACTAACAGAACTATGAGATATGGCACCTGTTTACCTTGCATGTTATAGGGGAATGTTCCAGTGAAGAAGATGGGCTGGAAGGCAGGTGCAGGGCTGCTGGGGAAGGCGTCTGGCTGCAGAGGCATGGCCTGGCTGGACGCTCCTGGAGAGCAGGGCCCATGGCTGGGGGGCATGGCTGGGGGGCAGCTGGGGCCATAGGGCACCCCTGGGCTGGCTGCAGCGATGGGGGGCACGGGGGGTGGCCTGGCTTCAGCATCTGGTGCTGGGAAAGTCTTGCTGCTGCTTGACTTGGGTGTGCAGGTGCTTTCGGCCCGAGTTGCTGATGGACATGGGCTAGTTTCATTCTGGGAAGCAGAAGAGATGGAAGCGCTTTCATTCTGGGATTCTGCCAAGCTGCCTGGAATGCTTTCTTCAGTACAAACGTTAGGGAATGGTGGATTGGCCAAGTAGTTCACAACAATGGGTAAATTTAAATCCTTCAATCCTTGACATTCAGTTTGTTCCTCTATTGATGAAGTTCAAAAATGAGGGGTAAGGGATGGAGAGAGAAAAAAAATCCATCATGTTACTGGATAGATCTAATTTTGAACATTGTTAGTTTTCCCATTGTATCATGAAACTACATCACATTCCAAGGCCATCAAAGAATGACACTAATTCTTTAGTGAAGAAATCACATGCCGAGGCATGTAACACTTGGAGGCCAGTAGCTGTAAAGTGAAAGAAAAACCTGTAAATGTCTTCAGTATATTGCTTTTTATAAACAAAGTGGGGGAAAAAAATAACCTTTGCAAGACATCATTTCTAGCAGTGTTGTTCCAGCACTTTCAAATGAATTGGATGACCAGTAGTCCTTTTTTGAATCTCATTTTAAAATGCTTTTAATAGCACAGCTGAAAATAGTTTATTATTACCTAGGCCAGTAAATTCAACCCAGTACTTCTTCAGGGAAGTCACTACTTGCTGTAATACCCAAACTCAACTCTTGCACAAAAGCACTGCAGTAAGTGACATTCCTGCCTGAGGATTACAGAACATAAATAGTGATGTCAAAGTAGATCAGAAAGATCTACTCAATGATACCACACTCCCAGAATAAAAACTAGGAGAGAAGGTGATAGGTTTATTCCCCAGGAAACACATGAAAGCTTAACAGACAGAAAAATAAGATGAACTATGAGCAGAGTTCATACACGTGTGCTTGTTTAGATGTTAAAAACAGGTGTCATTTGGCACAAATTAGGCCCAAGAGGTGAGCACTTTGCCCAGAAGAAAGCAAAAGTATCATGTAAGAGCATGCCATGTCAGGCGTAACTCTTGGAACCCGAGTCATGATTTAGCTGCAGCCTTGTGAAGGATAACCCTGCACTGTTGATGTAAGAGCAGATCATTGTAGGGAGCAATTTAAGTGCAAATACAGAAAACAGCACATTTCCAAAGGTAAAGCACATCAGAATTTTAATCTGGAGTGCAATACCTAGATGCTGATGGCACTTGCTCTTTTGCAGGAGTGTTACACACATCTAACTGGGTTTGCTGTGCATATGAAAAGTAAGATGGCAGAATTACAGGGCAAAACTTAACCATACAAGCAGCAAGTCACACTATAAAAGTGCTCAGAAGGCTTAACTTCCTGAGTGATAAAGGTTTTTTGAGGGGATTTGTAATATTGATCATGGTCAGACCACAGGAAATTGTACAATTGCAAAAGCCCCCATTTGCAGCCTGCGTGCCAGCTTTAGCTTAATGACGGCAAACAGGAGTGCAACAGCACACTTCCCAAAGCATACAGCTCTTCCACTTCTTGGTGACACAGCTCAGGCAGCTTTCCTGCCTGAAATACCCACGTCTACTTGCCCAAATACGAATTCCAGTTAAAAATCACAGCTATCTAATGACATACAATGGTCCTAGCCAAGATTTTGCCGATTACTGCCTCAGATAAAAGCACTAAAAGCATTTCAGTGTTTAGACTAAGAATTCTAGATTATTTTTAAGATGAGAATGGTACCTCCCAAAATCTTGCGGATGTCCGGTTTCGATGTTAGCTGTGCCGCCAGCTCTCCCTTAGCAGTTAGGATGTTCTTGTCTGCACCAGCCTTCAGCAGGCAGGACACCACTTGGGCATGGTTCCGCTTGCAGGCCCAGTGCAGGCAGGTCCTGCGGGAAGGAAGCAGAAGGGTTGGGATTCACTGCCCCGGCTACTCCTCACCCAGCCCCGTCCTACTTCACCCGAGTTACGCGTCAAGTGGTAACTGGGAATAAAGTTTCCTTCATTGCAGCACTTTTATTTAAAGTTCTGAATCTGTAAGTGGTGCAGGGCAGGGCCCTCCTTTGCCTTCCGGGGTGACTCCACTACTGTCCCGCAGAAGCGATTGGACGGGGACCTTGAGCGCACACGCACAGTGACAGGTAAAAGGAGGGCGACCTGCTTTTATCGTGATCCTCTTTAGCAGTAAATCTCCGAGCCTCCCGAGATTAGCTTTCCTGTACTCGCAAATGGGAAAACTAAGAAACACAAGAGCTGCGTCCCCGGAGTAGCTGTCTCACCCCGTGCCTGGTGATACGTCTGGGGGGAGCCCTGAGCTCAACCACCCCGAACACCGCCGCTGAGACGGGCAGCGGGGGAAGAGCCGGGCCCCGCAGCGACCCCGTCCCGCCCCTCGTCCCCCGCAGCGCCGGGACCCCGCAGGCCGCCGCCGCTCCTCACCAGCCATTGATCTCGTTGCGGGAGTCGATGTCTGCCCCCGCGGCCAGCAGCCGCTGCACCTCCGCCACGTCCCCCAGGGCCGCCGCCTCCCGCAGCCGCTCCTCCAGCTCCCGCGCCTCCGCCGTGCCGCTCATGGCCGGCTCCGGCTGCGGCCCCTCCCCGCCCCGCCGGAGCCCGGCGGGAGGGGCCGGGCGGCCTCAGCGCGGCGGAGCCGGGCCCTTCCCGCCCCGGGGCCCCGTTCCGCTCCTCACGGCCGCCGGCATCTTGAGCCGGGCGGGGCGGGAAGCGCTGGCGCTGACCCGGCAGGGAACGGCCCCGTCCTGGAGTTCTGTGTCCGGTTCTGGGCTCCTCAGCACAGGAAAAACAAGGAGCTGCTGGAGAGGGCCCAGCGAAGGCTTCAGAGATGATGAGGGGTCCGGAGCACTCTCCGATGCACGGACTCTGCGGGAGCTGGGCCTGTTTGGTCTGGAGAAGACTGGGAGGGGATCTCACCAATGCATTTAAATATATCCAAGGAGTATCAGAGGATGCTGTCAAACTCTTCATTGGCGTCCAGAGACAGGACGAGGGGCAACGACCATAAACTAAAATACAAAATGTTCCACCTCAACACTAGCAAGAACTCCTTTACATTAACAAATGTAATCAGAGCTCTGGAACAGCTGCCCAGAGAGGCTGTGGAGTCTGGAGACATTCCAAACCCACCTGGACATATTCCCGTGTCACCTGCTCCAGGTGACCCTGCCTTAGCAGAGGGTTGGACTGGGTGACCTCCAGAGGTCCTTTCCAACCCCAGTGATTATGTGATTCAGTGCTCTCCCCACTCCAGGTGCTAAGATGGGGGCCTGGACAGGGTGAAAATCCAAGACTGGAGTGTTTCCTTTGATGGGTTCATTCCTCACCTGACAAAGCTGCAGGTAAAAACTGCCTGCCTGCAAAAGCACATCACAGAATTATTTCGGTTGGAAGAGACCTCCAAGGTCTTTGATTCCAACCCATCATCTATCACAGTGGCCTTGCCCTTTTTGGGGTGTTTTTTAACCAGCAGCCTGGCTCCTGCTGTTGAGCTGTGAGGCTGCCATGGGCTGGGAAAGGACAACAAGGATGGGTTCAAATCCACAGGTTTTCCCAGACACTTCCAGCCCTGGCACCCCCAGTTCCCAGCCCTTTCTTTCCTCTCCAGTGTGTTGCTCACACTCTTAATTAAATCACTGTGGCATGTGTTGGGGAGCTCATTTAACTCCAGGCTTTCTGTTTTGGCATCAGTGTCTGCCACCAAGGAGAAATTTTCACTAAGCTGTTTTTTTATTTCATTGCCTCTCTTTTATTGCTTACTTTTCTTATTAATGACATTCTTTTTAACCTACCATTTAATTTAGGACTTGGGTTGCTGTTGCTTTGCTCTGCTGTTCCTTCTCTGGTAATTGTGGCCATTAGGTGAAGACAATGCCTGCAGCATTACCATCCAAACAGTTCCTGAATATCTCTCCATATAGATGAAGCTTCAAAGCACAAATACTCATCTTCCTTTTAATCAGTCAGGAGAGGCAAAGGCCCACAGGCCAAATGTTTCCCTAAGAGAGAAGCAGCCCTGCAAACCACACTCATGAAAGCAGGAGGCAGAAGCAAGCAGTGACATTTTTAACTACTATGGCAAAGGTTACACAGTGACTCAGTGGCAATTTTTTCACACTACATCACATGCTGTTGATCCCATGCAATAGACTGAACAAACATTTTGCCCAGATGCTACCAAAAGACTCAACAAACTGCATGAACTGGATTTGGAGAATGGTTTGCAAAGAAGATTTACCTGATGACAACTGCAAATTCAAACTTTAGAGACCTAGAAGACCAGCCCTCACTGGACACTGCTGTGACCTAAATATTTGTGTTTTAACTCGTTGGCTTTTTCAGTAAAAGCATCTTAAATGATCACTCTTTAAGCCACAATCCCTTTAGTCTTTTTTCAGTGTCTGTGCCATAAAGCTATAAAACACGGCACACATAAGTGGAGACCTAGTGATACATTCCAAGAAGCAGGATGCCCTCTTGCCAACTGTGAAAGCTTTAAATCCCGATTTTTTACATCTGTAAAAATCCAATAGGATTAGTGGCAAAAGAGCTTTTTCCAAAATAATACAAGACAACTCTCAGATGGATAGGGAAAAGCTACTCAGGAGACAGGGACAGGCCTTAAACCAGGAGCACTATTCCTGTGGTGTTCTCCAGTGCCACTGCCACTAGATGTCACAGTGGAACAGCAAGAGGAGCCCAGAATGTGGCTTTGTGCTTGCTGTAATTGTGAAATGTCTTTAAATTTGTCTTGGCACATCCATAGTGTCTCCATACAGCTTTGATCCTGCAGATTTGAAAGCTCCTTGTGGTGCAAAGGGACATTATGCAACTTTTCCACACAGGAGCAGGGAAACCCAGTGCAGGGAGCTGTTTTCTGGGGGGGGTTATGGGCTTTTTTCTTTTTTTTTTTTCCTCCTCTACTTGAGCTCCTCTCCCAAAGCCGCACAGGGCTTTTAAGGACTTGAAGCCGGCGGGTGATGCACTGAGATGCTCTCTCTCACGCTCTCTTGGGATGAGTATCCTTCTCTGTTGTGCCTGCGCCAAGCCCTGTTAAATGGAGCTTGGGTTCACCATTGCTTAGTTACACAATGTACTTCTCCCTGGAGTCATGAGATCTCCTCCCTCGAGGAAGGCTGTGTGGAAGAGGATTAGCAGCAAGTTCACTTGACTCAAACCTCCCCACCACTGCCATGAACCTCCTGTTCGTGCCCTGCACATGGAGCCTCAGACCCCCTCATACACGTGTGTCCCCTTTATTGGCACTGCTGTCACACTCACCAGCTCCCAGCAGAGCCTGAACTTGTCCTTTCCCTGCTCCTTTCCCATGGGACAGCTGGGTTTGTGCCTGTACCTGTGCAGGGCACACACACACACTTCCCTGCCTGAGCGTGGGGCAGGAGCCAGCTGAGTGAGCACTGGCCTTTGGAAACTGCTGGAAACTGGAATTGCACATGGTGTTCATGGCTGGAGCAGCCGCTTTGCCTCCCAAATGTTAAATGACTTTTGCCCTCCCCTGGGAACACACTGAGCTCTGAGCCTGTGTCAGGACCCCAGATCAGTGATGTTTTGTTTTCTTTGTGATTTACAGGTGCTCAGTGCTCCCTGTTCACCAGCCCTGAGCCTGCAGCATCACCTGGCAGAGCCAGCACCTCACTATCACAGCCTTGCAACAACCACGGGGGAGGCTTGGACCAGTCCTTGTCGCCACAGCAAGTTTTCCAGGTTTTATTGCTTAAGTGTTAATATCTGTCTTTATGCAAGCTTCTGACTGTGACAGAGGATTGGTTCTTTTCTGCTTTTTTGTCTGTTTGCTATTTGCTCCTGTCTATTGTAAGGCTTATGAAGTTTTTTGTTCCCTTTACATTTCAGGTTTCGTTCCCCATATCACTCCATTCCTCCCCATTAAACCAGCTTCTCAGTCACTGAAAGTTATGATTAAACATCTTTTTAAAGGCTTAATTCCCAGTTACACAGTGATACTGACAGCTGTGCAATCACATTTTAAGCACTTGTTCCCCACCCAACCCACTGAAATAATGTTTCTGGCAATTTAAACCAACACTGCAGTTGTGGACTTGTGAGAAATAAGATTTAAGGGACAGTCAGAAACTTTAAATATGATACTTACTGCACACACACAGATTGAAAGCTGTTGTGGGATTAAGGCTGAGGGAAATGGAAGGGACTGGTGGAGAATAAAGATGGAATTAAAAGTCAAGCCAGATATTCACTTAGATTTAAACTAATCTGTGCTGCTCACACTGGGCCTTTCAATGGGAGTTTGAAGGCAGAGGAGACAATTTCAAAGGAGGAAGCTGAAGTCACGTGGGAGAAGCAGTTTCTGTGATACCAGTTTTTGTGATGACCCCCATGAGAATCTGTAGGTGAATTAGGTTAAATTCAAACCTCCATGTTATCAAGTCTGAGCCTGTGTCACCCAACACTCACCTCAAGTCCATGGGGGGAAACGCAGCACAAAGATTCATCTCCTTCCAGGGCAAAGGTCTAAAATAGCACAGCCAAATCTTCCTCTGGAGATGCCCCTTGTGTTCTACCCCTTGCCAAAAGATCCAAAGAGAATGAGCTTTGAACCAAAAAATCTCCAGTACTGCCAGGCAAGATGAGCACCTGAGGCAGGGTGGATAGGGCTCTACTCAATAATATTTCCTCTATTTCTGATGAGATAAAAAAATCCTTCCAGTGAATCCCAAAATTGCGGGGAACTCACCCATCATCTTTCTTTTGACCATGAATGACAGCTTTTTCATTAAATCACCCAGCAGGAATTGCTACCCTGATAGTGGTGCGGAGGACAGGGATTCAGGACAGGTTTTAGCACCCTGGAGCATCCAGGATGCATGGAATTACAGTGCAACCAGCTATCTCATGAATTTTCAGCCCTGCTGCAGGGGCTCAAGGGGAGCTAAGTGTCTAAAAGAGGGACATTTAAGCAGGTGTGAGCACACACTCATGCACACAGATGAACATGCCTGCAGCATGGAGTGAAATTTGACAGGAAGGTTTTGGAAAATGGCATTTATATTGGGGGAATGGTGATCTGCAAGGGAAAGATCTGCTCAGGCAGCCAAATCCCTTTAGAAATCAGGAATGGTGTGCGGCTGATCTTTATTCCAGTCGTTAATTTAACATTGTTTCTATTTGTAGAACAAATAAATAACTTCTGAACAAACAAATCAGGGAGCTGGAACCTGAGGGGTGTGGTACATCAGCTCAGGGACTCGTGGTTAAGAAGTCCAATAGATTTTGATAACAACTGGAAATTGTTCAGTGGATTAGTGCCTAAAGCCAGTTTGGCTTCAAGTAATGACAAGCCTGAGCTGCTGTGCCATGGAGCCAAATTTCTCCCCCTGAGGATGGTTGTTGCTTGTTTTGGGATTGTGGCAGCGTCCCCAGGTGTCAGCCAAGTCCCTTCTGAGCTCAGAGACATCCTAAGCCAAAAAACTGTGGAAAGGGACTGCCTTTGCTTTTTCTCCAGACTTTTGTGTGCATTCTTCTCTGCCCATGTCTGTAGTCCCTCCCTTTGCTCTACTAATCC